GGGGAACACCACTTGTGACTCGCCTCCAGCTGGACTTTGCACCATTTACCACAGCCCTCTGCACCCGACCATCCAGCCAGTTCTCCACCCAAGAGAGGGGGAACTTGTCCAGGTCAGTAGCAGCCAGTTTCCTGACAAGATGCTGTGGGAAACTGTGTCGAACGCTTTGCTAAAGTCCAGATAAACTACATCCACAGCCCTTCCCTCGTCCAGAAGGCGGGTCACCTTGTCATAGAAGGAGAAGAGACTGTAGGATCCTCAAAGCTGTAAAAACCTCTGTAGACCCCTGTTTTCCCTGCAGATTGGGAAGCGGCAGATCATCAAAACCCACAGCACCTCCTTGAGATATGGCCTGGGGAGAAAGCTTGCAAGGCACTTCAGTCAAAAATGCTTCAGGATGTGGTACCTGCAAGCTGTGGATCCCCCTGGGCTATCCCAGGCATCTGGAGGGTGCTGGGACACCCAGAGCCGAGCAGCTCCCAGTCAGGAGGTGGTGCAGGTGGACACTGTGGAGCTGGGCTGTGCTGCCTCACTGGTTTTTGAGCTATCCTGATGTCAGGAGTCCCCACATTACACCACGAGCTGATTTTTTGCAGCCTCCTTAGAGGTCAAGAAACGCACAGTATTTCCTGAGGTGTGTGGGAGGGTTTTATCGTGGTTTATGCCACCATATGTGTCTCTCAGTTTGCCAAGGCTAAGCAGGCTGCAAGGAAAGCCAGCACTTACATGGCAGAAGACCTGCTCTGAGGTGGCGCAGACCCTGGGTGTGAGCAGGATTAATTAGCACTCATTATGAGCCAGCTTGGTGAGTGTTGCATCGAGGTGATTAGCTCAAACACAATGGATCAAAGGAGCAGATTATTTTGACATTTAGGCCTGAATGTGACATTTCCAGGGACTCTTGCAATGATTTGGGCAAAGAAAATCATCAAGACAAAAGCCCAGTGTGGGAAGTGAAAAGCTAGACACACAATGGAAAAATAAGCACGCAGCAGGACTGGTCTGCTGGTGCTCACAGCTTTCTGGGGCCTTAGGCAAATTGCAGGCAAAAGTCACAGCAATTTTTGTTCTCCTATGCTGGAGCTGCTCTTGATGCATCAGTGACCTTGGCAAGTTACCCATGGCCGCAGCCAGAAGAGGCTTGTGACACCAAGGTGTGCTGTGGATGCTCTCTCCCATGGTAGGTGCTGGGCTTTCCCTCCAGGAGGACGGCTGAGAAAGGCCCTGGGTCAGTGACTAAACCATGGCCTGGGTGTTCAGTGGCCTGGTTAGTTTAGAGATCTGCTAGTGCAACACGTTGGTCTTGAGGTGCCATTTCTTTGAATGTACATCTCTTTAGTGAGTAAGCAGATTCCCCCCTTCCCCCCCCCCCTTCCCCAATGGGGTGCTCACTAGTTTGTGATGGCGCTGAAATGTAGGCAATGAGTTGTATCAGATGGGGCTGGCACGGTGTTGCCAAGCTGACAACGTATTAGAGACCTTACCCCAGTGTTGTGGGACTGGGGGCTCTGAGGAAGGCAGGAGAAAGTCCCCCCGATGTGACTGGCAGCCCCAGATAAACCTCATTGGTGCTTGCTGTTGGCATGCAGGCACCAGTGCCCTCTGTGTCCCTATAGCACAGAGGGGCCGCCCACAGGTGCAGCATTAGGCAGCAGAGCCACGATAAGAGGCTTTTTATTTCAAGGTTTCAGCTTTTCAAAACACAAAAAGACATGCTTGAAATTCATTCCTTCATGCTGATCCTGGGAGTCTTCCATAACCTTGAAATTTGGCGCTCGCTCTCTCTCTCTCTCCTTAGCTTTCCCTGCTTGCTCTGTGCCTGTATGGAGCTGCTTCACAAGGCCCTGCCACACGTCAGCACCGGTTTGTGCCCAGGGCTGGAGGAGCCTGGGTCAGCAGCAACATCGCAGGGAGCATCATGGCCAGCCCGGCCACTCCTTGTCTCCTGCAGCCACAGCAGCTTCGCAGTGTGCAGCCGGTGGCTGCTGAGGCACTGGCTGTGATAGCAAAGAAGCCTCAAGAATTAAGGTGGTATTTCATGTATCTCCTTAATTTATGAATGACAGACACTCCCACTCAGCTTGTAACAGCAAGGCTTTAGGCTGTTTGCCCTCATATAACGAGCTGTTCTCACCCGTTACTCCTCTCCAGACCCTTTGGCATTTGCTTACTTGTTTTGCTTATCACCTCTCACAGGAGCGATAACCACGGCCTGAGCAGCAAAAACGTCCAAGGCGCCTCAGCCAGGGGAGTGCTTGCTTTTGTAACAGCAACTGTATGGCCTCTACCATTTGCTGCTCCTGCCTGCAGGCCTTGGGTGCCAAGAGGACAGAGAGTGAAGTTAATGTGCGTGGGCAGAGAAAGGGCATCTGCCCATATCGCCCTGGTTCAGTACCACCCACTGACCCCCAAACTACAAGGAGAGAAAGCATCAGACAGGGAGAGACTTGCAAATCCCCGCCAATGCCCTGGTTGCTGCAGGTGGGCTCAATGCTGAGCAACCTTCATCCCATCGCCCTCTTCCTTGCTGTTCCCCATCTGTGAATTCGTTACCTACGCACTGCTTCTCCAGCATTAACAGCCCCAGCGTTTGTGGGACTGCATAACCATAACCAGGCTGCTGCAGCATCTCAGGGGTGCTCATCCTGTAACAGGTTTGGCAGCAGTAAGGCTTTGGATTAGAGGGGTTTGTAGGCTCGGCTTTGAACATGTGTAAAATGAGATGTGTGTGGAGCTGTAACACGTAGGGAGAGCCCCGCTGCTAGAAGGAATCAGCAGCATCTCCTCACCCTGGCACAGCCACCCCATGCTCCCCTGTAGCTGCCCCCTTCTCTGCACACCCCACCTGCTCCCTCCCCACACCCCTCTTCCCATCCCTGAAATCCCTGCCACCCCCTCACATAGCACATGCCTCATGCTTCCCATCTGACAGCAAGGATTTCAGTAGTGTTTCTCACTCTAGTTTGTATTTTAAAACAAGCAGCCATTCCTCCTTCCCTTTCTCTTGTAACTCTTCCCTAATAAATATGATCACTTCATCCCGCGAGACCTGAAAACCCATTTCCGAAATTCCCCTGACAACTAATACAGTAAAACAAGCCTATAAATAAAAATAATTATGATAAAAAGGCATAAAATGCCAGACTTGGGTCAAACATACTCACACAGTGACACTAGCAACAAATAACTACACAGTGTGGGAATGTAGATGGGAAAAGCTGAATACAGAGTAGCTAGTTTGTTGCCCATAACTGTCAGACTCCTAATTCGGACAGGCCATGTTTTATTGATAGCAGAGCAAACACAGTCATAATCCATCCCTACCTTTCCTGCTTTGTGAAAAATCCCATCCATCCCCAGGGAAGCAGGGATGGAAACAACAGTGGTGTGAACGTGAGGTGAAAGTATAAGACAGAAAGCACAGTCCCAGGCTGTGTTTCTCGCACATCATATGCTAAGTTCAATTTTCCAAAAGCTCTGTTTTATTTTTAAAGGTAACATCTTTATTATTATTATTATATTTATTTGTTGTTATTATTGTTATTATTATGCAGAGATGAGATTTTTTTTTTTTCCCCCTTTGATCACAGAGCAAACAGTTTGCTTTTGAAAATGTTAATGGAGTCCTGATTTAAAACATGTTTTCTTCACTTTTTTTTTTTGGTGTTGTTTTTGTTTTTTAAAACGCTGCAACAGGCAGGATCTGGGGTTCGATTTCCTCGTCCTACACAACGAAAGATTCTGGAGTTCGGACTCCTAGCCACTACCGGTAGGTCCTGCCTTGCTCAGTTGTTGTCGTCTCAGTGTGGTTTTGCCAGGTGGGGTGGGTAGGTGGGTGGGAGGGGAGGAGTTGGAAGAAGGGAGGGTATTTGTCAGCTATGTCGAGTCTTGGTTAACAACTTTGCCTCCATTCATGGTTGGTGTCCCTGAACTTTTTCTTGAGCGTCCTTGTTTTTCTCCAATTTCATGCAGCGATGGCTCTCTGTACATGCACACTGCGAACAGAAAAGACACTCATTAACAGCCCTGAAGTCACAGGCGTTAGTGACCATAATGAGTTACTTCTTTGTATATGAGGCTGAAACTGCAGCCCCAGTGCAAATACACACACACTGACAGAAACCTCGGTGACCCGGCAGTGGATCCTGTTACCAAGCAGGATCTGTTACCTGCTCTTGCTGCCAGTCAGATCCTCCATCTCTGGATCCTCCCAAAGGCACAGACAGAAACGGGATTTCTCACAGAGGTGTCTTTCTAGGGTTTCTGTGTTTTACTGTTTTTTTAATGTTATCTTCATATATATAAAATAAACATTCCAGTTCACAGCATCATGTGTTGTTTCAAGATGCTGATTATCATCTAGTACCAGGTCCAAGAATTACCCGGTCCCCAGTCCTTAACCTCCAACAAGAAGCCCTTGAGAGTCACGAATCAAAACTAGGCTGAGCCATCCAAACCTTCTGGGTGTTCAGCTCTGGATTTGGAAGTGGTGACTCAAGCCCATGTGGCTCCTCTGGCCAAAAGCTGTGATCTCCTCTCAGCACTTCTTATTTTTTCCCCTGTAAATCAATCAAGACAGCCAGCCAAAGCCAAGGCCACGAGCAGACACACAGGGATGAGTTCAGTGACAGCAAGCCAGGAGCCATCCCAGCTCTGCACGGTCACCTGGCAGCACCTGAGAACATGGGGGATGGAGGGCACCTTCTCTCCAGACCCTGGCTAAGCAAGGTGTGTCCAATAAAAACGTACTTGCTGGAGTCTGGACAGCCTGAGACGGCAACGTCTGCCCAAGGCACGGCACATCCCCGTGTCCTGTGCAGCATAAAGCATTTATCCAACCCACCATGTGGACTCAGTCCTCATGGCCATCCTTGTGCCGTGTGAGGTGTGCCAGCGCAGAGTGGCTCAGCGCCTCACACCAAAGGGAGCATCTCTGATGAGCTCATTGCAAATGTGGTGGGGCATAAATGTGATTGAAATAATGAGGCATCTCAAGGGCAGCCACACTGGAGTTGAGAACTTGAGGTAAGTCCAGACTGCAAATGTCATGCCCGCATCTTTGCAAAAGTTAGGACAGAAAGAAGTGACTGTGTACTGCTTCATTTGGTAAAGCTGTCACGTCACAAGCCATGGCACAGAGCTCAAACACAGGGGACAGAGCTCATCAGGTTTCGGTTCCAGGTAATCAACAGGAACAAAATTTCAAATATTATCTGAAGAAATGAAAAAAATACCCCATATATAAAAAAAGGTGATGTAAGTGCTTATATTTATAACCTCCCCTGATTTGCAAATAAATCCTAGCAATTAGAGGCAGGCAACAAATGACATTATTGCTCTGTATTTTACTCCTAGCTAGATAAACAGTTATAGCAGTGTGCAACAATACAGGACAGAGATAAAGTGCAGTCAACTGTGTATTAATAGGAGGGATATTGCATTCAGTATATGAGCAGTGAAAAAATATTACTTTTCTCATAGAGCATTTTTCACTCAAGGCTTTCAAAGCAGTTTAAACACAGACACGAGCGGGACCTCCCAGTGTGGCTGCAAGGCAGGGTACTGCTCCGCAAACTGGTATTGCTACTGGAGTCATTTTTTGATGAAAATGAGAAAAAAGAGAAAATGAATGACTTGTCCCATGGGGCTGGGCCAGGATGAGCAATGCCAGGACTGGCCATCAGCTGCCCAGACTGTGGATGCTGTCTGCATGCTGCAAGGAAAGTGCTTAGCATGGCAGCGACAGAAGGAAAAGGGCTCTCACATCCCCTTTCAGCTGCTGAGCTGCTCCTCATACCTTGGTGAACGTCAGTGAACAACCTGGTGATGGTGAATTTACCTGTTGTGGCAAAATACCTAATAAAATCCTAACGAATGGTATGAAAAGGTTAACAACTGAGGAAAAACGTATGTCCTTGTGATTTCTTAGCCTGAGTTGCAAGCCTTTTGATGACACTGAGGATGCACATCACTTCTGTGGCTGACCTTATTCTCAGATGTGACATTTGCCCAGCAGAGGTAGGTATCGGTGCTGGTGTAGCCTTAGTGTCCCTGGCACTCCACACACAAAGTCCTGTCTCAAGCGCAGCGCTGTCTTCACCCTGACCTCTCTGATCCCAAACTGGAGCTGGAGCGATGTCCATGAGCTCTTCCCCAGGCAGCTGCAGGTACTCAGCTCATCTCACCCGCACCCATCTCCAGTTTCCCATTGGGCTGGGCCAAATGCTTAACCACGAGGGCTGCAGCCGAGCAAAGTCCGCAGCAGCAGCACTGCAGCACATTGCCTTTCCTCAGCTCCCTGCCTCTCACCTAGGCCTTTGGGCAAAAATGCTGATTTGCTAACAAGGCCCATATGAATATAAATCAGGCTAGAGAAGTAAACAACAGCTGCAGCTAAAAATTAAGGAAACCCTGTACCTAGCAAGCAAATAGGGCAGGAATTATAAGTTTATCTGCCAGTCTGGTGCATGACACAAGTACTGACATGGGGCATGGCTGGAGGCTGCTCACACTGTGCTTTTCAGACAGAGCCATCAAAACCTCTGTACGAGACAGGCAGTGCCAACAGACCATGCCAGAAAAATCTGTAGCATCACAGGACAAGCACATTTTTGGTATTTAGATACATCTACAGTATTGGTGAATGTGGTATTTATATGGCATCATGCACAAGACAGTGCCTGGATATTCTCCTACACAAGAGACTTGTGCTGAGCTGTGGCCATCGCTCAGCGGCGGCTGCAAACTTGTGTGCACTGCAACACATGGGTGCGTGCACACAGACACAGGGGTGTGCGTGCACACAGCCGCACACGTGTGGCATTTTAGGGACAGCACGACATGTTGTGCAACACAGGCTCCTGGATTACAGTTTGTTACTCCTTGTACTGAGGAAGCTTGAATGTGACTCACACACGGAGATGTTAGTCATGGGCCGGGGAGGGAGGGGTGTTTGTAAATGGACTCTTGTGGGTGCCCAGATCTTCCCAGCTTTAAAGTACATCCCTGTGGTTTCAGGACGGGCAGCACTCACTGACAGGTCTGTCTGGGGTCCCTGTGCATATGTGTGTGTGTGTGTGTGTGTGTGTGTGTAGACACACGGCCCTGTCACCTGCATCAAGGTAACCCAGCAGCAGTGTGACAATCAGCATGCCCAGACGCCTGGGCGGTCTCCTGGTGTGCGCAGCACAAGGCAGCTTTGGAAGGATGAGCAATCTGGCAAGAACAAGAGTCCCCTCCCTGCTTTGCCTTGCTTCTCCCACCCACCCACACCCACACACCAAGCCGAATACAGCCCTTAGTGTCTGGAAACCAAGCTAATGCTTTGGAGCTTCAATCAGATAATCATTTCCCATGTCCCAGATTCTAATCAACACATCCATATTCAAGTTTTAATTGGAAAGTGCTGTTAGCCCGATCTGTTGTAGAGCCACAGGTGTAAATGGAAGAGGGTGAGCAGGAGTGGAGCTGTGCCCATGGCTGGTTCTTGAGGCTTTCCCTGCTTCCCTGCTAACTGGCACTGCCTGCCATTTGCACGCACAAGGAAGCAATTTTGCACAAAGAAACAACCTGCAAATGAGGCAGGAAGGAGACAGGGGGTACAAGCAAGTTGGAAAGGGGTGGCAGGGAGCATCCTTCCCAAAGGAAAAGGTATAGAGAGGGCTGCCTGTCACCCAGGAACAGCTCCATCTCTTGCTGTGCACTGCTACAGGATCCCTGCCTCATTTCTGCTTCCCAGGCATGGCACCAGCACACTGCCCACACTGTGAAACGAGTAACGCCTGCTGTGGCTTTCCTGGGTGTCAGGGACTGCCTGAGGTCGGGAAGCATGCACCACCTTGTGTCCTGATCCCAGCATTTCCCACTCAGCACTGCTGCAAGTCAAGGAGGTTGAGGGGTTGCAAAGAACTCGATTTCCCTTCTCTAGAATATGGGGAAAAGCTTAGTAAAGGGCCTCAGATATATCCTATCCATGGATATATCCCATTCTATGGCTGGAGGGACCAAGGAGCCCAGGAGATGGCCCTTCCCCTTGCTGGGTGCCATGGCTCAAGGTGTCAGTACCTGCAGTGGCGGCTGCATTAGCTAATGCTTCAGTGAAGAGAATTAATTGAGCAGCAGCTAGGGGCAGGAGGGAGCAAGTGATTATGCACCCTCATTTTCTGCCTCTAATTACTGTGTTCGAAGCCTGGTCCCAGCTGATGCATTTCAGAGGCGTTGGAGCTTGCCATCTATCTGGCGGCTAAATGTGCAGGATGCTGCCAGATGGAATCGCAGTTTGTTCAGGTAAGAAACATAGCAGAGGATGACAAAAAGCCAAGCAAAAGCATGGTTAAAATACATTGCATTTGCCATCCAATAAGAAGATTAGGGGTTTGATAGATGAACAACTGAGTTAGAGTGGGACTGAAAACATACCAAAGCCTGCCTGCTTGAAAGACAGACCCAAAAGAGGAGCTGTTAACAAAGACTGATAAAGAGTGTGGGGTTTGTTGTGATTTATTCTTTTTTAAAGCATACTTTTTAGGATGTTTTGTGGATTATGGTCATGATGCCTTCGAAGCATTTTCATTAGACCTACCACATCTTCCTACTCAACAATGTCTTGTACTTCTTTGCAACATCTGAGGACTCCACTTTAACAAAACTGGGACGTTGCTTCCGTGGGAAAAGACAGTTGGAAAGATCTGGCTGCTGTTCCCTGCACACAGATATTCCTCAGTGGTAGTAAATGGATCAGACTAGTCATTATCAGGTCACCTTCACATCTGAGATGTGTTCATGTCATGAGGGCTGAAGCACCGTGAGCTTGGAGTTGGAGGCATCTCTGTTGACTCAGATTTGTCACACTAAATGTATTCTGGCTTGGACCAGGTAAGAGATGAAATGTAGCTACTTTGGGAGAGCAATCCGAAAAGGATGTCTTCAAGGAAAAGGAAATATAAATAACAGAGCACAACTATAACAAGCATCTGATAAAATCCTCACTTAAATGACTGGAAAAGTCTCCCATTGTTTGAGATGGGTTTGAAACTTTAAAAGAACAAGAGGTGCCGTGCACGACAGTGTTTGTCCAGCACTAATCACTACAGACACTTAAAGAGACTGAAATTGCTTTAAAAGATTGCTTGGTGTCCAACTGACAATTATAGTCAAGGTAATTTCTCATGCAGTCTGGTTCAATCTATATGACTGCACTTTAAGGGCTCATTTAGCTCTATTGGTGATCAGAAATAAAAATATCAAAAGAAATGTGTTACGTATGTGTGTTTTTAACCAAAACTGGCACCACACAGTGCATTAGCTGCTGCCTGCCAGGCTGTTTGCCATGGCTTTGCCTGCGCACAGATGGGAGAGGAACTTAACATTTCCCCTGTTATTACTTAGTAAGTTTTTTGTGCTTTTATACTGATTAAGCTTAATGCTATTTCCAAAACCAAACAAATCCTACCTACACTAAACAAAAAAAACTCCCTCCTATCAACTGAAAACTGAAACTTTTCCAGTTGGTATCTAGCGACTTTCACATCGGACACCTCCAGCACCCTGACACTCTACAGGAGTCAAAACACTCTGTGGGATTAGCACAGCATAAAGCTGTAGCTGCTGAAAGCCACAGACAACACACATACATAGATACCACTGCATATATATATATATATATATATGGACACTTGCATACATACTTTCTTTAGCAATTATCCAGGAGGATATTTCACATTTATTTATTAATTTACTGCCCGTTTGCAACTCCGAATTCAGAAAGCAGTATGAAGCAACGGGAGTCAAATGAGCTCCAGAAGCAATCTGAGCTTTTTTTTGTGTTGCCTTTCCCTGTGAACGCTCTCTTCACCAAGCTGCTCCATAATTTTTTCTGCACATGGCAAACAACTGGGAAGTTTCATCTCGGAGATGATTGCCATCAAAGTGGTGGGTGAAGCGATCCCTAGCAATGTAGGTAACACCTCTCCTTCCTTCCGAAGGATCCAGATTCCTCCTTGCATCCATTCCTGTATCAGCCATCACATGGCAGGGATAATGCTGGTAGTGCTGCCAGAGCAAAAGGAAATCTGGGTGTGTTAGGGCAGGCAGTAGCTGTGAAGAACTGGCCTGAATACACAGCAAAGCCCACATGCTGGAGCGTGCCGCAGCATTTAACAGAAAGAACACACAAATATAGCAGGAAATTGCTTTGAATGCTTCCATAGAGCCATGACAAAGAGAAAGAAGCTGTTAAAACAGGGTAGGAATTGCCCCTTTTCTGTAACATCTCTGCTTGCAAGCTCTGCTCAGGGAGACTTTGATGGATGCAGCACAGAGAAGTCACATGGAGCTGAGCATGTTTTACTCCAACCCTCCCCACAAGCCTCCGCTACCTACAATGAAACTTGGGCTTGGGAACAGAGTCCTCCGTCTGGAGCCACAGTCCCAGACAGCTGAATGCTTCGGGAAGCTGACACGTGCCTCGGCCTGGGAGACTGCCAGCTCTTTGATGCAGCAGCGCTCGCAGAGGCTGACTGCAAAGCATGTGGAGGAGGGAAGGGGTGGAGGAGCCCTTAATTTGGCTGCCAACTTCCAAAGCGCTCACTCGCTCGGGAGGTTATGTGACAGCTGTGATTGAAGCAAGCGTGGGAGGATGCAACTGCGGGAAAGGGAAGCTCTCGGGCTGGGCTGGGTTTTTCAAAATGAAAGCCAGAGCGGCATTTGCTGCAATGAGAACTCCGCTGTGGGTCAGGCACCTCTATTAAGGCAAGGCTCTCAACGAGGAGAGCCACAGGAATAGCCTAGTTCAATGCATGCAGAAGATAACTATTGAGCCATTCATCAGATGCCACGCATGCTCCATCAAAAAAAGAAGGCTGGATTCAAAGGAACCCACTGATCAGCGCCAACACCCAGCCAGGCAGCAAAGAAATACCAGAAGGAGCTGGAAACCCAGCTGTGAAAGCTTGCACTTGCAAAATACTCTCTTCCCAGCCAAGGCAGCAGAGGAGGAAGCAGAAGAGAAGCAGGCCCTGTTCCTTAGCAAAACCCAATGAGGGCCTAGGGCACCAGTCCCACTAATGCCACAGATAAACAAGAAACCACTTGGTGAGTGGTACCTGTCAGGAAAGCATCAGTTTATTCCTTCTCTCCACATGTCCAGCCCTGACCCCACAGCCAACATGGGGGGGTAGAAAGAGGGGACACAGAGGCACACAGCGTAGGCCAAGACCCAGGCTGCTGTGTCCCTGAGGTGGCCACTGGCAGGGTCAAAATGGGATCAGAAAGGCATACCTAGTTTGGGGATTGAGAAGCAGTGCTTTTTTCCAAGCAGCAGATAAAAAAAAGGTCTCCTTGTTTCCAGAATCAAGTACCTGTTAAGCACTAGGCTCATCACCCTACAACTCTCCATTTATCAGGAATCAGCCCATAAAAAGCAGAATGCCCTGGTATGAGCCTGTGGCACACTTCAGTAGAGTGCAGTTAGCAGCAGGAGGGCAAAACTTCAACTCCATGACTTCTACTGAAGCCTCACACTGGGATGAAGAGATACGGCGTGACAGCATCTCATCTAGCTTTGGACATCTGTGATAAGGTTTCTTTACCTGCCCGTGACTAACTAGGATGTCAGAGGAAAAACAAACAAAGCTGATGAGATAAAACAGATTTAAGTCATCTTAGGGTAGACGTATAAAGTACCTCCACAGCTGTGCTAGTAGGACCCATTTCTGTTGCTATAAAGAGTATCAAAGCCTGAACAAGTGAGATGATAAATTCTATCACTACTGACTCTACTTGGGATTGGAAACCCACTGAATGATGATGGGAAAATCCTCACAGACAACCCAACATTACGGTCCCTGCTGGACTGGATTCCTTTTGGACTACTGGCTGCTCAAGGGCTTTCCTTTCCCAGTAACTTCTTATGTTCCTGAGCTTTTAAATTCATCCTTTAGAACCCTAACGCCGAGAAACCCCTTTGGGACGATGTGCAAAGGTTACTATATGGTAAGGAAAGCAGGTGAAATGGTAACAGTGCAGCCCAGCACCTTTCTGAAATCTGTCCTTGCTTTCTGGTCTTGCGGCCTGACACCCCCAGCCAGGAAGCTCCAAATCTGCAGTTTCAAACTCCCCCTCCCCATACCCCACCGATGGAGGGAGCGGGCAGATTCCATACCTTCAATGGGTTTGGGTACAAAATGTGATGAGGGTTTGGTTTTTTTCACTCGGTTTCCCTTCATAATTTGACCTTCTTTATTGAGTCCCAGGAACCACGCTCGGCCGGATTCTTGCTGCCGGTACAGCGTGGAAGAATAAATAACGTAGTAGTTTTCAAAGACAGATTCCTTAAATTTGCACTCTGGTGTGAAAACATCCTGCAGAGAGAGAGAGACAGAGAGAGAGAGAGAGAGAGAGAAGAAAAAGCAATGGAAGGAATTAATCATTGATCTCCTAAATTAGGCATCACTGAGTGAAACACGACGGTCACGCACTGCAGTTCGTTTAACAACAGAAAATAAGAGGCATCAGCAATACCAGCTCCCAGCAATAACACACATCTAGAAAACTCCCCAGTGAAAGGGAAGGCTCTCCTTCCCTGGCAGAGCTGTGGTTTGCAAAACAGCCTACAGTGAATGGGCTTGAAAAAGAAGCAGGAAAAGTCAGGAATTCGTCAGGATTTAGGCTGAAATACTAAGCAAAAAGAAAGAAAAGGGAGATGAGAAGCTAAGAGGCAGCCTTGCTGCTCATTTGCTGCTCCCAATACCTTCCCCTGGATTTGCGCTTACCTTCCCTGTGATGGGGAAGAAATGTACAATGGTTGCTGTCTAAAACATTTAAACTTCTTTAAATCCTTATGGGGATGGCAGTTTTAGCCAGAAAATTTGGCCAAACAAATGGGGTTCCTTAAAACTATGACATTATTGCAAAAAGAGCTCAAGCCACAATGAAAGCTTCTGAAGAAAAACTGTTTTAACCAAAAAACCCCTCTTTTTCTAAAACCCAGGCAAGGTATCTCAGAGCTCCATAAACAAAGGCAGTTGCTGCTCCAGGCAAATGATGCTCTCTCCCAAGCTCTCGGAGCTTCTCCAACCTTGCTAATGAAAAACCCATGACCAACATCTGAGCAAAGCATCTGGAGTAATGCCACATACTTACTGCAGACCTCATTTAAGTGTTTGATTCAGCAACACTCAGGTCTGTATTCCCAAGTACTCTGGGGGTTATATAAAGTGTTGTTACTGGGCTGACAATAAATCCAGCATGCAACAGATCTACGCAGCCAGGCAGGCTTGAAGGCGCAGAAGATAAAGCGCAGCAGAAAGTGCGGAGCTCTGAAGTTTGCATCAATCATTAGCACCACACAGACAAAACCACCAGCAGCCCAAGGGGTCATTTTGCCCTATCTGAAGGAGTCTTCCTTGCTGGAGAAATAAATATTTTAGGAAGAGAGTGAAACAAGTTAGGAGAGATCTAGATAACTTAGAGCACTAAAAAACAGTGTTTGAAGTAGTTTCCCAAAAGATCAGTGTTTAAGCGCTCCTTAAATCTGCTCCTTATCTCCAGGCTTTGTCTTGCCTCGAAGAGGCAGCTCACGGGGGAGCCGGGCAGTTTGCAGCAGCTGCCAGTGACCGACCAAGCAGCTCAGGGCTGGCTCAGGGGCTCTCTCTGGCATCGGGCCCAGCCAGGCAGCAAACCCCGCGATGGAGAGCATCTCTAAAACCAAACTCAGTAACTCAATCCCCTTTGCCAGGCTTTGGTTACCCCATTAATAAAAACTTACCAAGAAAATTCCCTTTAGGGGGACTGAAAAGTTGGTAAGCGGTGAAGGAGAGCTACCAACTTGGTCAAAACATGGAATATAGTATCCATATAGCCTGAGGTATCTAGACTTTCCATGTCTGTTCTGATTTCAGTGTGGAACAAAGATATTTTTTTTATTTTCAATGAAAAAGAAATTTATAAGCTAATATATTTTGGAAATATTGCTTCCAAAAGAAAAAAAAAATCCAGATTTTATCTAAAAGTTATTGAAAATCAAATTTTCAGATAAATATCTATTTTTAAGTTACCACATTCAAATATTTTATAACATGCAGTACTTCATGAAAGCAGATGCTTTACTGTATATCCACCTGTACCAATAAAGCAGCAAAATTATTATATTATATTAAAGCAAATGTATTTAAAGACATCAACCTAATGAAGATTTAAGAAAAATAAAGAAAAAAAATAGTGATTTCCTTTAAATATTTAAGCTCCCCCGCAAGCAAACAAAACCGTCCCATTGTTTTTGTGAGTTGGCTGGTTGATTCCTCATCCCCCACAATTCAGTTGAAATAGCACTTCAGGACACTAACCATGGCAACACCTCCAAGAAACATCCTAGCTCTGTCCATGCGGCAGTTTAGAAAACCCACAGATTTGGCAGCTACGTTCCAGTTAAATAATGCAATCTTTATTCATTATTATTCTCCTTCTTCTTATGTATACCACCTCTTCAGCAACAGCAGGCGTCCCACTGCGCCATGTAGGGACAAACACACCCCAGGGCGCAGTTCACCCTACCACCAAACGGACACGGCACAGGGTCTCCACAGGTCTGAGCACCAGAAATCTTTGCTGTGGGCACTACCATGTGCAGACAGACACAAAGCGCAAGCAGATGGAGGAGGAAAAAACAGCTGACCAGAAAGGAGATGGGACACACAGGCCACATTCTCCCAAGCACCACCTGGAGATATATGCAGTGTCCTCTAAATCTATTTAACATGCAAACCCTTATGTTTTTCTTCATTGCTATCTTCTTGATGGCCATTATCAAGCCTTCAGCTGCACCATGTCACTTAGTTTCTGCACATGCCTCTTGCTGATGGCTTTGGGGCTACCAATAACAAAAGGCTCTTGGGATATTAATGACATAAACTCTCTACAAGCTTTGCTGTCAAAATTAATTGTGGCAATTATGTCGAATCAGGTGGGAACTGCTGTTTTGGTTGTCTAGGGCTGAGAAGAGCTGGGAAGAAAGAGGAAAGTGCAGGTAAGCTTAACAGGCTTCACACCAATAAAGCAGTAACTGAAGGTATTTTTTGGAAAATCACTGATCTATTGGCCAGACTTCTGGGGCACGCAAACTTTTTTGCTTTGTTTTGTTTTGAAGATGAATTCAGTGTGGTTGAAATGTGCTTGATGGGCTGACCTGGAGCCCAATTAATTTCTCTATCCCACAGACAGAGTGGGCAAAACCAGTAAAGGGATCCTCATGCTGTCTCCTACACCTGCTTCTGATGGGACAGAAGGGCATCCTCCTCCAGAGGTAATGGCATGGTGAGCCCTGGGGTCAGGAGCCCCCACTTCACTCTTTCACTTGGTGCAGGGACCTTTTGAAATGGGCTTATAACGAACTCCACTCAATTACTTTCCCAACTCTCTCCTTGACAGAAATGGCTTGACCAGGTCCAGGACAGTGAAAGGACAGATGGCTTCATCTTTTAATCACCGGTCTTTTTTCAGACTTTGAACAAGGAAATAAATCGTGATTCTATTTTCTGTACGAACCCCATAGAGCTCTCAGTTCCCTGACAGCATCATCATGAACTCAGCTCACTCAGAAAATCCAGCAGTTTTCTTCATTAAAGAGCACGCTTGTGATTTGGAGAAAAAAAGAAATAAATTTGTCTGGTTTTATCTCCATGTGAAATATGTGTCTTTGGCTAAATTATTTTTGCATACAAAGTAAATAAATACATTTATTTGTTTCCTATTTGGAGATTCAGAGCCTGAGGTATTTTGTTAAATGTCTACAGATATTACTGAAAGCAGTTTGAAAAAGCAGATCTTTTCCTAATTGTTAAACTAAAAACCTGCATGAAATATTTGTAAAAGAAATGTGAGTAATTTACATGCAAAACGATTAGCATCTGCCTGCAACTTGTTTTCTGTATCTCAATCCAATCCTTTGAACAAAAAGGCAATTCCAGTAAGAAGAGTAATTAGATTTGCTTTGAAAAACAAACATAGGTCTGGTTTGTGCTAACTGGAGTTTTATTGGAAATTGCAGAGTCTAGAAAAAACTAAAGCGGTAGCTGTCACACAGAAAACAAGGGATACCACATTCAATGACACTTGGAATCAAAGACTGGAGCTAAATGGATGCACCTGGCATTTGGGGGGATTCAGTGTGTAAGACCTGCTCAGAGAGGGTATAAGGTACCTCGGATTGCCCAAAAAGCTTTTTCTGGTTTAGGAAAACAAGATGTTTCATTTACCCTTGATCCCAGTAGTGTCTCCTGCTGTCTGCAGATGGAAACATGGATGGGACTTTCAGGCGCAAGCCAATCTCTGTATCACCTGGGCCAGTTGAGTCCTTCAGGGAGGTGTTGGGAAAGTCTGGCCCACTCTGCACCCCCCTCCACAGCACAGGATGGGGGTGATTTGTAAGAAGAGAGATTTTTTTTCTTTCCTAATCTACCTCAGCTTTCACCTGTCCTGGTCAGGTAAATCTAACCCAGCCTCTTGATCTTGAACAAAGGAAGTTTGACTGGGCTCTCCTGTGCACTTCTGTAAGGCTGGAGAAGCTCCCCAGATGTCAGTGGAGAAGCGTTGCTGTCAAACCTGTGGACACGAAGCTGCAGGATATTCAGAGGACATCCTGCCAGCCTCGGACATCCCAGCTCCTTCAAAAAAAATGCTGATCCAATGGTGTCACAGCCCTGGTGCAGGCATAGTGCTGCCAGCGCAGTGGACAGCAAGAAACAGCAGTGCTGGGAGCACCACGGCCACTGGCACCATGAGCATCCTCAGTCAGGAGATGTGAAGAAAAGGTCCAACTGTAAGCAGAGGCGTGTGGCTCCTGGTACTGATGGTACATGGTACTGATCATGAGAGTGAGCAAATTTGTTGTTTAGACTAAGCTCGGACTGGCACAGCAGCCCCTGAAGTCCCCAGAAATGGTGGCAGGGACAGCCAGGAAGCCAGCAGCAGACTGTCACTAGCTGTTGTCTAGCTGTTGTTTTCAAACCCAGCTGCTCACTCAGCACCCTCCTGGACCGGGCCACCTCTTTGTATTGTTTGCCATTTCCCTACTAACATTCTCAAAACTGCCAGATACATAAAGATTATTTTTTTTCCTCAAGATCTCTTTTTATTATAACCCAAAGGAGAACAGCAAATATACACATCCACACGCAAACCTAATGACTTAATAAATTTAGTCACTGAAACTAGCAGCAATAAAGGAAAAAGCCCATTCTGCAAGTAGTTTGTGCCATGGTTTACGAAAGGGGTGTTAATTATGAGTGTTGAAATATCTAACTAACACACTCCCAGAGTAACTGTTTTATTTTGTTTACAGCACTTACGGATTTCTCTTTTATGTTCTGCACAATTACCGAGCCAG